AGATAAAACGGATTGCTTTAAAAATATACAAGTTAATGAAGGCATTTTTCCACTACAGAGAATAAAAAAAAAGCCTCAGAGTACCCAACTGATCACAGTTTAAAGAAAGTCATCTTTGCCAACTGTGGACTTACTAGGTGTGAATTTGATAGGCTTGGCACAAACTTTTACATAAGCTATTAGCTTGGCAGGGCATTCATTCATCATGCTCAAATACATACATGAAATACTGCAGTACAAAATACAGTATTATGAATGACTGCAGTTGTCAATGGGCTGGTATACAAATACTTTATCAATGTGTTTTACTCTTACCTAGTTGGACTCGTAATCCTACCTACTTGGACTCTATAATTCTGCCTAGTGTGGGTGTATCCCCTACTTAGGGTGTACAAGCTCACTTAATTGGATTATAGGGTTGAACCTTTACTTTTATCATCCAAAGTTTGGTTGGTGGTAATAACAGTACTGTATTGCATTATTCAGTCTGATTGACTATTGTATCATTCAAAATTTGGATGGTGTTCTTGCATTTCCCAATATTCGGTTGATGTTGCATTATCCAATGTGTGGTTGATGTTATTGAATTATCCAAAGTTGTTATTTCTGCATCTTCCAATGTTTAATTATTAATGCATCACCTGAGGCTTGGTTAATGTCAAGCATTTTAATGATATTCTTCAAATTAAGTTAATTCTCTATATACAGTTTATTTATTTTTTCTCCAGGAACTACCCACCCCTTTTAGATCATATAATGCACATCCATTGTCTCTTATGGCTCTTTTTAAGTAAAAAAGTACTGTTTGAACTTTTTTTTCATGATGCTAATTTAGTATAGCAGTAAACTGGCCTATTAGTCTACCGAGTGATTTAGTATATGCATCCACATGTAAACTCCCATCAGTTGGCAAATTCTGAATAATTTATCGGGGTTTTGCCGTTATATTTTAGGCTGTAGCTCAAAGCATATAGAATGGTACAGTTATTATTATCAGGAATGTGGTTCCTTATTTCTAAGCAATTGTTATTGTCATAAATTTCTTAAATTTATTAGGACTGACTGACTGACTGGCATTCAGCTTGATGTTAACAAGTTATGGTGATTGTACTGACCATACCCAGTAGGAGTTATTCATAATAATGCCATAATTAATCTCAGGCTGCGAGAGATTTATAGTGGGACACAAAGGTGCTCGTGAATTTGATAATCTTATAGTTTTTTACAAGTATACCAAGTCATGAGCCTGTGCTTTGAACATGACGATAACTTGGGCAGCTCCTGTTGTGCTATACATTGAATATAGCCAAACACAGTGATAACATAAGATGTTATCTTGCTGCAGCAGGATGGGAACTAGTCTTTTAGCTGCAGGATGTTCAAAACTTCTCTCAATTTTTATCCAAGAACTTGTCACATCTATGGGTTGTAGTTTACCTAGAATTCATTGTGTCTTGAGAGTTGCAGTATGGCCACAAATCCTCTGTAAATTACAAAATGGCATTGACTTATCATATCTGTAAACTATATGGCATACTCGCCCTTTTTATTATTTTTTTATTTTTTAATAGTTAAAAGCACTTGAACTAGAGTTTAATGTATTTAGTATTAATTTTAGGGTTTTATTGGCTATTGAGCTCAATTTTTTAAATTTTGTACATCTGTCCTCTTAATAGACTATAAGGTGTTTTGTATCCAAGTGAACAGATGAGTATTGCCTGATTTTTAATTTGAGTTCAGTAGCCTTGAAAACCTGAAATTAAATATAAACTTGGAGAAGTGATGGGGATTTCATATTTTTGTCAAGTGTCATACACCAAGGAGGCACAATCTAGTGCAAAAGTGGAGCTTGGCAATCAAGAAAAAAAAATCTAAATACAGTATGTGATTCAACTCTGTCCTGACGCTACAGAAGTATTAAGTTTGGACAAAGCTTGTAAATTTGATGTACAGGTACTGCCGTATGGCCAGAATTTAACCTTTGTAACCAACATGTTATACAGGTAATTATCAAGCTGCCAGCTCTCTTGTTCACAGCAACAAAAGCAAAATCCTACTGGTATATACTTCTGAGAGTAATGCTGCAATTTCATAAAAAGATTGTGGTTCTTGAAGAAAGGTAAACATTGCTATTAGATTCCCATTGATACATGTAAAAATGCCAGTCTTATTTTCTTGGCAAGGCATTATATATTATGGCAACTTAATTTGTAACATCAATAAAATTGAACAGTTGAAACTGAAGGGTGATATGACTGGTTGGTGATTGAGTGGTGTGCTAAGTGAGGTACCATACTGTACTGTAGTTTGTGGTAGAACCAATACGGGATGAGATGCAACTTGTAAGTCGTGCGATGAATTTGTGTTGAACAAGACTTCAAATTATTTGTGTGTATGTACTGAGATGTTGGTTGCACCTTGTGACTGGTCTTATGAAACCCCTTGTTAAGAACTTATTTTCATATGGTTTTCTTTGCAGTAAATTATTGCTAATAGAGTAGAGAAGTTGTCATATAGTATAGTGGATTTTATTTATTTCATATCCAAAACTTTATTTATATTAAGTTGCAGTTTTTATGGAAAAAATGTTGCAACTGGAACACACACATTGTTTGTTACACTGTAATGAAATTATAGAGGAAATATATTATAATGAATATTTTTGAAGTTTTACTGGGAGCCTCTCATGTAATATATTGTAAAGTAAACAAGTAAGATATCTTGTGTTGTATAAACAAGCTTCTCCCAAAATCAACCCTTAACTTTTTTATCAATACTTTTTGCTATATAAACTATGCTTTTTCCTTTATGTACTGTACAAATCTAATGTATTTGTAAAAGACAATTAGCGGACTTACTAAACCATCTTGTGGTGGTAGTACTGTAGTAGCATCTGTCGAGGCTCAAAATACATTTCAAACTCCACACATCTTACGTGTTCTTTCACCATAAACCAAGGAGAAGCTAAGGATTTTTAAGAGGGTGAGAGTGAATTCAACCCGAGATTACCAAGACGACTATTTAATTCCCCTAGTATCTTTTCCACTAGGTGTAGGATCACGGTCAATATAAGCTGCTCCCTCATATATTGTCTTGTCATTCATCCATTCCAAACACTATACCACATGTGTTTTAATATGATGTTCCCCTTCTGTAACAAGTTTCAAGGTTTTCATATGGCTTACCTCTCACAACTAAGCATTAAACTTACAGTATGTATTGGTATCCCTGAGGTTACAGAAATTTGCACAAATGGAATTTGTAAATAATGGTCGCTAAATTCAGGATACAGCCCATAAATTTGACCTTATAAAATGAGGTAAATTTAAAAAAAAAATTGTTAAATAGAACAAAAATGATTTCACTGACAATTTATTTGGTGTGAATTTCTTGGTGATTGCTAACATCAAGCGTGGATACACAGTGCGCTCAAGCCGCTGGACTCGGCTTGATCTCTCATCCCCAGCTATTGGATTTTGCACTTATTCAAGACCGTCGAGTGTACTATTACCTTTATTCAAGATGAGTGGAAAGAAGTCATAAAGTGTAAGTGAATGCAGTGGTGCTAAAAGCCCGTAAAGAAATTATGTTGGATATAAAACGGTGTTTTATAGAGTGTGATGCTGGAGAAAAACTTAAACAGATTGCAAAAACATTAGGACTAGCTACATTCCCCAATAACTCCCATTGCACCACCTCACGCAATACTCAACGCCTTTTGTGGCGAATTAAATAAAAGTTCTGTGTGAAGTATTTATCATCATACCGTATATCATGAAATAATCAAAGTGCGTTTAAATTTTTTTATTTAAATTCATTGTGCTTATATTATTTCTTTTTGCCCAAAAAGTTTCCTTAGGAATGTATCTTTAATTATAAAATGGAAATCAAAGGGAAAATGCGATTAATGTTATGGTCAACATTTCAAGGACGTATCCCTTCCACAATCCAGGGGATTGTTGTACTGTATCCTGTACACATTTTCCCACAAGAGCTATGGTCCCTAACCTTTTGTGTTTCGTTGTTATACAGTAAGTCCTCGTATAACGCCGGCCCGCTAACGTGGTTTCGGTACTACGTCGCTAATCTTTAGATACCAAAAATTCGTTTAATGTCCTGATGACTCGGTACAACGTCGTTTTGTGTCGTCACTGACTACTTTTTATGGCGTGAACAACAACGGGGGAGGAGCAAACAGCGGTGGAAGAACCCCAGTCAGAGGAGGAGGCAGCTACAGAGTCTCGGTGACTCACCACCCTCCTCCTCTCCCGCCCTCCTATGCTCCCACCCTCCTCCGCTCCCTCCTCCTCCGCTTCTGCCATACTCCTCCCCTCCACACACTCGCTTTACCACCTTCGCCCATCGGTGAGTACCAATACAGACTTAGTTGTATATGTATGCACTATTTTCTATAGAAATCGCAATGATTTTCTGTATATGTAATGTATTTCATGGGGCAAAGGGAGGCTCAGGAACGTAACTCCCGTATTTTATCTACTTCTTATAAGGAAAATTGATCCTTTTATGTTGTTTCGTATAAAGTCGCGTTTTTAGGAACGTAACCCAGACATTAAGCGAGGACATACTGTACTTGAAGAGTGAAACAGGAAAAAAGGTAAGATAATCAAATATGAACTAGCTAAAAAATTGAATGCAATAGCATGGTGGAATGTTTTGTGTGCACCTTCACTATCAATATCATTAAACTATAATGTTACCGAGAAACATAGGTGAATATGAAAATTTATTGACATTAAAAAGACTTGACAATTTAGATGAATACAATCCATGAATGAAAATACATTTATTTACATTGTTTTTTATGTAAGTTATTTCAATTTCAGCATTAAAACTCTTATAAAACACTGGTTCTAAATAAATTTTACAAAAGGAATTCTATTTACATCTGAGAATTTCCTGAGTAGCAAGTCTCACCAGTATATTGAAGGCCACATTTAAATGTTGTCTCCAAAATCGTCGAACACGACCCCATACCTCAGTAGGGAAGTTTGGTGAACCTATACCATGGAAGACTCGTGCTACAGCACGACCTGTCCACTGATGATCCATGTGGGTAGATATAAAAGCACGTACACTACTACGAACACCTGCTTCTATCTCGGGTCGAATATATACTTTTTCCTCAAGTTGAACCTCAGACAAATTTGTACCATCCTTCGAGAAGTACCTTCGCAATTCCCCTTGTAGTTTGGTACAACGGTTCATATCAACAGAATCACAACATAGCAGAATAGAGTTGTGGGAAACAGAACGTAGCTTTTCATATGTATAATGGAGCTGCAGCAGCTGATTTTGTTCCTGGGTCTGAGCACGCTTAAAAAGGTTATCAAGAAGTTGATCGCGCTCATCATTACTCAAATCTCCTCGAGCTTCCATGTGAAAAGAGAGATCAGTGAATTCCACCGTTACTCCTGATCGTTTGACACTTCCTCCTCGTGAAAGATCTTGTGTGTTCCACTCCAGTGACTTTAATTCCCTTTTTACTATCTTGCTATTCCAGCCCATGCAAGAGGCTACCTCCACCACAGGGAAACTCACTCGATTAACGTTTTCAAATCTAACTCCTTTTTGACGTTCGAGGGCAATGGCAGCGGCCAGAGGTGGACATTTGCGACTCACTGCCACCAACTGTCTAGGCCCTCCATAGCATGACACTGTGCAGTTCGCATATGCATGTGAATTGAGATGAATGATACTTCCTTGGTGCAGTTCCAAGTAACATAACAGTGTTGCAAGATTTTCTTCAGGAAGATCTAGTTCTTTCACTATATCGTCTATGGGTATTGCTACTTCATGTCTTGGACAGGAAGACCGAGATAACAGTACTGAGAAAGAGTCTTCAGCAGAGGTGCGTTCATTTATTGAGATGTTGCTATCTTCATTGGCTTCATTTGTCCTGGACAATGTCTGACTGTTGCTGGGAGAAGATGGGGCATCAGGAGGTGACACAGCAGATGGTGATGCTGGAGCCTTGCTACTATTAACCTCAACACTGTTCCCTTCATTAGTATTTTCCTCTCTGGTCACACATTCTATTTCAAGATCTTTTACTTTAGAACAAGCACAAGGTTTGAAAATTTTGTTCAGGAGTTTCCTTACTGTGTGCCGATCCATAGAATTGGCATAAATGTGTCTCTTGAGTTCCTGGATATCTCTCCCATCACGTGCATCAAGAAACAAATGACAATGAGCATCTTCACCATCACGTCCAGCACGCCCAATTTCCTGCACGTAACTCTCAATGTTTCTGGGCATGTTGAAGTGAATGACACCCCGTACATCGGCCTTGTCTATACCCATGCCAAATGCCACTGTGGCAACAACTATTCTCAACTTGCCGGACATAAATTGTTTCTGAATCTTGTGCCGCCTATATGAGCTCAGTCCAGCGTGGTAAGCCTCGGCATCAAAAGATATTCCCCTTGTCCTCTTCAGGTTGCTCTTTACATCGACCTTTGTAGGCTTCATGAGCTGAGTCCTGATCAGTGTGGCAACTCGCTCACATTCATCCCGTCGAGTGCAATATATGATGATGGAGCTGCATTCTGAAAACCTGTCTCCTTGAAGCAACGTTATCAATGCCTGCTCCCGGAATTCATCACGAGATACAGACAACAAGAGGTTTTCTGGAACACTTGCTCCACGAATTACTCCAGTGTCAAAATCAGGAATGAGCAAATGTCGTGCAATGCTGAGAGCTGTGGCTTGGCGAGCTGTAGCTGTCAATCCTAAAATTGTCTGAATGCCTAACCTCTCTCGTAAGACTTGACACACACGAAGATATGACGGACGGAAATTATGAGACCATTCTGACACACAATGGGCTTCATCCAGACAGGCAAAGGCTACAGGAGGTAAATCTTTAAGAAGAGAACCAAGTACTCCACCACTGCGGCTTGCTACAACAGCTTCTGGAGAAACAAGCAAAATGTGAGCAGTTCCTGACTGTATGGCATTGATGGCAAATGAACGCTGGGTTGTGTTCTGGTGTGTGTGAAGGCAAACGGCGTGCAGAAAGCTGGGAAGACCAGTAACTTGGTCCTCCATGAGTGACACAAGTGGTGATACACATAGGGTGATGCAGTGATTGTGTTTGGCATAAAGGTAAGCTGGAAGCTGGTAGCATAAACTCTTGCCAGAACCTGTTGAGAGGACCAACAAAGTTGACTGCCCAGATAAGACTCTCATGATGGCATTCTCCTGACCTGGTCTGAAGGAGGAGTAGCCAAACATCTCAAGTGCATCATATACTTCCTCTGGGGTAGAACCAACCTCTCCATTGTCTAAAGGATAAAGAGGATCAACAGTTGGTCTATCATATCCTAGGGAATTATAAGATAATAAATTTGGCTGTTGTGAAGAACCTGAATGCTGGGTATTAGTAGGTTCTGTACTTCTTGTGTAAACTTTATCATCATCATTTTGTTCATCAGTTTCTTCCATATCAGCAAAAATATCATCATCTAAATCCATGGGACTAAATATATCATTGTTTTTGGACTGTTCTGTGTAATCATCATCTTTGGGTTGTTCTGTGCAATCATCATCTTTGGACTGTCCTGTGCAATCATCATCTTTGGACTGTCCTGTGCAATCATCATCTTTGGACTGTCCTGTGCAATCATCATCTTTGGACTGTCCTGTGCAATCATCATCTTTGGACTGTTCTGTGCAATCATCATCTGGATTTAAGAGCATCTCATTTTCATCAACATTCATGCCAACCTCCTGTTTATCCTCAGCTACTTTACTTCCTGTTGGTTCATGAGTTCCATCAGATTGCTCTCCTTTAACACATTCATCTTTGTTATCATTTCTTTCTCCTGCTTCTTCTTTAAGGAATAATTTGGACACTGGCAATGCACTGCTACAAGGTTTGATTCCCAAGGCCATTGATGCTGCTTCCTCTAGGCTCAAAAATGTTGATTCCTTCTCATTATAATTTTCTAAAGGGAGAAGATTATCTCCTCTCTTACCTATGCAATTCTTGGACCAATGTCCAAAGTCACCACACTTGAAACATGTTAGTTTCTTTATGGCACCCAAGTTACCACCATCAGCACTCTTCATAATCTGTTTCTTTTTCCATTCCTGTCTTTTGTATTTACCACCAGTCATGCCCTTCTTGCCACGAACAAATACTTTCTTCTTCAGGTTAATACGTACAAAGTTATTGTTGCAAGCCCCAGTAGCGATTTTCTTCATAAAACGTTCTTCGGTGCTCATGTACGGTTTACCATTTGTTTTTTTCAAGCCATGTGCCTCTATATCCTCCAATTCATTATAATCGTCATTGCCAGGCTGTGAACACTGTAGCCCTTCATTCTGTTTCTGGTGGACTTGACTGGTCAGTTTTTGAGTCTTTGGCACCTTTCTTCTAGTCTTTTTGGCAATTGTACTTGACTCTGTGTCTTTTTGTTGTTTCCTCTTGGCTACTGTAACAGCCTTTGGCATTTTGGCCTTGGGTGCTTTTCTTTTTCCTCCTTTTGCCGCTTGATTTACGATGCCATCCATTTGTGGCAGTCTCTTCACCTCCATTGCAGTCCTCGCTGTCTTCTTTTTGCCTATTCTTTTTCTCTTGGGTGGTGGCCAAACGGACTGGATCTTCCCACTCTCTTCCAGGTCTTCTAGGCTTTCCACTTTCTTCCTTTTCCTTCCTTTTATATTCTGGGGGTTTTCTTCCTCAATTTGATATTCTTCGTCACTTACCCCCTTTCTTGGGCGAGAATCTGTGTCACTATCAGCCTCAACGTTCTCATCAAGAAACTTAGAGTCACAAGTCTCTTCCTTTCTCAATCTTCCCTGTCTTCGGTCTACCCAAGTCGTGTCATTTTCAGTTTCTCTTTCAGGGGAAGAAATTTCTCTATGAAAATTATAAACATCTTCCTCTACATGAAAATCTGTCCTGACACTCTCTGGGGGACTGTTAATCATGTTTTTCCTTGATCTAAGTCGTCGTACTTTGGGTTGTTCTTCAGTCTCGGCATCACTTGTTTCTTCTATGGCTGAGGTTTTTTCAGTTACTTCACAAACGTTCCCCCTTTCATGCATTAAACCATTTTTTACCATTTTATCTTTTTTTCTTAATACTGGTTCTTTATTTTTAGTTTTTGTGGCTTTGTGTTTCCTATGCACAGGGTGGTCTCTCCTGTTTGATGAGGTGATTAAATCAGGTTGCATCTGGTCAACATTATCATCATCATCATCATCATCATCCATACTGGAGGTTAAGATTTGTGGTGGTAAACATTGGGTATCTTTGTCATCACTTACCCAGTCTCTGTCAATAAGCTTCATTTTCCAAGACTCAGATGAATCAGTCAAATCTTTGCCTTCCTGTTCCTCACCAAGAACATCTGTACCTGTACATCGCACCACCCACCCATGGTTTAGACCTGCCTTTCTTCTGGTGGCCAACAAATCACTTTGTGGGTCTGCAAATGTGATGTGAGAAATGGCACTGATGGCTTGAGTTTGGAGTTTTTTAGTGACTTGTCCTCTTTGTACTCTAAAGAGGACTTTAGAGGAATTATTTTCCAGGGTATCAAATATACTTGACTTTGTTTCTGCTATACTTTCAGATACAAAGGGTTTTTCATTTTCTGGAACTGGTGTATCAAGCCTAGAAGCACACTGTCCATTCAAAGTTCTGTCTGCAGTGGCTAAGTCTTGAGCACTGAGGCCACCACCTACAGGTATGTGTGAGTTTGGTTTGTCTTCACTAGCCACTCCAAAAACATTTTCTTTGTCAGTACAAGCATCTACGTCAGTGTTTGTCTCAACAGATGACGAATGCTTATGAGCTTTTAGTACACCTGGCATCTCTCTTTTAAGTGGAACTATACTATCTTTAGATTTCTTGAGGGATGTTCTCACTTTTATGGAGCTTCTAGCTCGAAGCTTTTCAGCCATTTTTGAGTACAAAGACTCATGCTTGTTGTTCACTTTCTTAAGTGTCTGGTGATCACTTTTATTGAGGTGTGTGCCCCATACATTGTCTTTACTGGTGGTATATGGTTGTAAGGCTAAAGTGTCTGTTGTTACCTCATGTGAAACACCAGGATCCTGTGAGAGTAAGGGAGCACACACTGTGGATGTTTTCTTTATTGCATCAGCATCTAAATGCTCTTCTTCGCCATTTTCAGTTGTTACTCTTTCAGAATGATTATTTTTTGGGGAAGAGTCTTTACCATTGGGAATCAGACTGCTGCTGATGCTGTGGGTCTTTAACACAGTACCACAACTCTCCTCATCCACAGTTTTATCAACAGTCTTCTGGTCTAAACTGTTTGTACATGAATTCCCACTTGTCCCTCTCTCAGGCTCTGTTGTAGCACTGTTTAAGTGTTCCAGAGTTTTACGGTAGTAGTGATATGCCTTGTATGCTGCCTTGATGTCATCTGGCGCTGTAGCTAAGGCTGCCTTATCTGGACGGCAACTGTTGGCAACCTTGAACTCCCCCTCCCATTTCTGTGAAAGAAAAAAAATAATTTATTGACAGAAATTATCCTTTGGCTCCATCATCAACTAGCCCTAAGAATACAGGTCCTGTTTTAGTGACTTACTGAAAGAACTTACAGACCAGGCTATTCTAATACAATTTACAACTAGCTTTGATAGTACAATATAATACAGAGCTGAAGAGGTAAAATAACAGCTAACAACCAAGTAAATACTGTACAAAATTTTTTAATTTTCCATGCAACAGCAGTCATTGAATATACTAATCAAGTACAGTATTCTTACACAACACCATGATCACTGCTCAACAGGTGAAAAAGAACAAATTACAGGGAAGAATGAGCTGGTAGTTATGTATATGAACACGTTAATCAAATTTACAGTAAAATTTTAATTAAATTAGTTTAAGTGAAGATGGGTGGTCAGGCATGGAGAGGAATTGTAAATTTACAGACTCACTGCCTGACGGTAAATGCTAGAGTTAACCAATAAGAATCTTATCCTTGTAACTAAAGGAAAAAAGTAAATGTTACATACTTTTATCTTCAGTTTAGCTTGAGTAATCTTGTCCTGCCATGATAAAGAAGGTAATCCCTCTGCCATGACTAAATTGGTTGTATGAGATGCTGGAAAAAAAATCAAGATTATAATCTGCAAGTCAATTTATAAACATATTCTTACTGAAATCTGACTGTTTACGTGCCTCAACATGACCACATCAAAGTAATATATTATCAGAGTTTGAAGCTTTTCATGAGATTCACACACAAAGGTGAGATAAAAGTACTGTACTGGTGCTTCTCACAGTGTTGAGGCTGTATAGAACAGTTTAGCTGAGAAGGTCACCTGGTCCTTCAAAATATCAAACTTTGAGAGAAAGACTGGACAAGGCTTTTGACAGATCAACATGTTATGTTCTATTGCAGAAGAAAAAATCAAGATATATACAGTACTGTATTGTTATGTTTGTGCTTCTTCTGTTAACAAGCATTTCCCTACATATGACTGAATGCTCCCTAGTGACCTTTACATACCTAACCTAACTAAACCTACCTAACCTAATGTAAATGAATCTATCAAACTTAACCTGAAATCAGGTACTTTCATCCTAAGATAGGTAGGTTCATCTTATCTATGACAAATGTGAGGAGCGATATGATAGAGGTGTATAAATGGAAGTCAGGGCTGAACAAAGGGGACATTATACCAAGGTACTCAAACTATCCAACCAGGAGCAAACTCGTAACAATGGTTTTAAATTAGACAAATTTAGATTTAGGCGCAAAATAGGTAAACATTGGTTTGGAAATAGAGTAGTGGACGAGTGGAACACGTTACCAAATATCATCATTGACTCGAACACACTGGATAGTTTCAAACATAGGTTGGATGGATATATGAGCGATAAGGGTTGGGTGTAAATGGGACTGCCCAGTATAGGCCAACAGGCCAGCTGCAGTTTCCTCCATTCTTATGTTCTTAAGTCATATAATGTAAACAACTCGACATGATGTGGCATCACACAGTCAGCACAGTGGTGTAGATTCGTGGTCAGAATAAAAACAATTCCTCCACATATTTTTTTACTACACCAGAGGTATAAAATAAGTTCTTTAATATAATAAAACTTTCCGCAAGTTGCTGGTTATCACGAGACGGTGTTCCGGAGTTTTATCAATAAGACACCCTAACCTAACCCTCCCAGGTAGAGATAATTAGATAATGAGTTTAATCATCAGGTGAAAAAGGCTGAGGGGAAATCTTCACATGATCCTTGAAGACATTTTCTGCATGTTTCAATACAGTAGTAACATCAGTTTTGGAGAAGAAAAAAATTATCAGCATCTGATTCTAGCAGAAAACGACAAATGTTTCGCAATACTCAGTGGTCCGTTCCAGCTAAAATTAGACGATCCTGTTGTAGTTCAGCAATCCACTGTTAAAACAATATTAAAAAGCATTTTATTTTCCAAAATAGTCTATATATATTCTAAATTAATTTCCATATCCTCTACAAATGTGCCATATCCAAGTCAGGCATAAACTAAGATATTAAATTCTGTGGATTACATGAATATCAGCATCCCAGCTTATTTATCTGATTATTAAGCACCCTAACACCTCCAGGTAGCATTATGGTGTTTAATCTTCAGGTGAAATAAGCTAGGGAGGGCTAATCTTAGATGATCCATATATCTCTGTGAGCTGCCATCATCTTGGTGGGTCATGTCTGGCGACCTGTGACCGCCTCATAACCTAATAAAATAGGGTTAATTATACCATGATCACCTAATCTATGACGTCTGAATTGGTTAAATGATTGTTAAGTTGAGACGTTAAATAACATAGTTCAGAGATGAAATTAGGACCATGAATTAATTATCTGGAATGGAAGCTTAAATCCCGTGGCAAAATTTCTCGAGTTGACTGAGATTATTAATATACTTTAAACTGGATTTCTTGTTTCTACTCTTAATCTTAAAACAAAAAGCTGAAGAAAGGGGTTAAGAGATCACTGAGAATTAAAATAAACTAACTCACCAGTTTTATCACAAATATTCAGAACTTTTTATTTCAGCACCGGGGGATTTTTCTCCCGCTTCAAAACAGACGGCATATTTATTATTGTGTATGTTCGAACTCGGCAATGTCACCTGTTTAGAAAAGAATAAATGTCCTTTGAAAAATAGAGATAAAGAGAAATATTAGTAACCATAAATATGAATTCATTATAAAATCTGTTTTTAATTTTTACAGTTATTCAGACGTTCCGAAGATAGAAGTTTGATGTAGAAAAGGTGAAAAGGTTCACCATTGACATTGTTGGAACTGTGTTGTTGTTTTTAAGTTGCTAAACAAAGGTTTGAACAATTATTAATTTCATATTTGATTATAATAATAAATGAATAGTCAATAATAGCAAAGGTACATACTAATTACAAATATAAGTGCAGATACAGTTATAAAGGTACAAGTGCAAATATGAGTTCACATACAAACACAGGTCCATAGGTATATAATTAGAATTTGAAGAGGACCAAAATATACCACCATGAAATTAATCAGTTTCGGTAAGTAATGATTGAAACTCCGAGGCGAAAGCAAATGACGGAGGAGGGCATACAATGTTAGTAGTATACCACGGAGTGGGTCGCTTAACCATTTATTTTCTAAATGAGAAGAATTAACAAGTGATAAATTAATTCCAGGAAAGCTAACATGATGACCTTATGATAGTTTAAATTATGTTAGGCTAGGTTAATTTAGGATATGTACGTGAAAATAAAAAGAAAATAGATCGTGGTAGTCATTCGTAATACTTTTCTAACATTGTCTTGAGTGGGCGGGTTTGAGCGGGACCTTGGGGGAGCAGAACTCAGTCAAACACAGGAAGAAGGTACAGGACAATATTATCTCCACTTTTCTCTTTATTCTTAATGTTTGTTGGGCGATAGTCGTTAGGGAACGAGGAAAGGAGGAAAAGTAAGAGCAAACAGGGGACAGAAAAGAGAAGAATTGAGAGTAATAGATAAAAAAATTCTTGTGGAGTAAAAGTAATTCCGTACATAAACAATTTGGTAAAACTTGGTTAACGAATATCAAATGATAGTAGATAGGTTCATATATATATATATATAATGTAAAATTACCGTACATATTTACAATTGGATAGACATGTTAATAAAAAAAAGTAAAAAATGCAGTTGTACAGTTGAACACGAGTATAGCCAATGTAGGTATACGGTGCAGGTAGGCCGTGAGAGTGCTGGTAAACAACAATGGTAAGCAATATAAGGTAATTTGACCAGCAATAGCCGACAAATCTCGTCTGGAGGGTCGTTTGCGGTTTGGGTTAGTTTCTACTCAGTAATAGTATGTCTACAGGAGTAATAGTGATTTTTTTTATACATTCATGAAGCATTAAATTGCTCTTGGCTATCCGAGGCTGGTGGATCACTTCAACAATACAACATTCTCTGGCTTATAAAATAGTCATTATCTTCTCTAGCTGTAGATTCATCATTTATGTATTTTTTTTTTAGTTTTAACCATGAATTGTTTAATATTATTAGTTTTTATGTGGTCAGATAACTTGTTCCAGTCTGTTAAAGCCGTGAAGAAGTATTTTTCGCCTGACCGTGTACACCAGTTACCATAAAATTATGTTCTCTCCCTATAATGCCCTGTCGGTTCTTATTACTTATACAGTACTTACAAAGTTTGCTGTTAGATACTCTGCGTAACGGTCCACTGGAAATTCTGTAAACGTGATTCAGCCTCAGTTGCTTTACTCCAGCCGCCACACTTAACATGTTCAGTGATAGAAGAACTTCATGACCAACTATTAATTCACTAGAGTTAGTCCAAGGATGAGATGGGTTTGTTCCCACTTAGTACAATGAATTTGTTTACCTTTTTGTGTTTTCTTTTTTATACAAATAATATTATTTCAGTCTTTCTAGGCGTAGGGATAATTTATTGTCTTTTAGCCATTTTTTGCATGACTCCACTTCAGATACTTTGGTAATATCATTTGATTCTTTTAGCCGACACGAAAAGGTCACTACTGTCGGCATACAGCAATATCTTGAATTAAGGAAAGCAATGTTTCAATCGCTAGGATATATTCAAATCACGGAGTATTTTTCAATCACTGGAAAATACTGTATATACATTATTGATTTGTACTGTATAAATATAATATACCGTAATAAATGAATACATATACTGTATATACACACACACTATGGTTTTGTTGACAGATGAGTCAAATACGAGTGAAGTTCTCTCCCAGCAACGACCAAGTCCAAGGTCTTTCCAGTAACACCCGGAACCAGGAACCCCCTAGCAGCACCCAGGACCACAACCCTCCCAGTAACTCCCAGGAAAAGGATAGGGTGGACGCCGAGAGTGTGGAGTCGACTAGCTCAGACGGGTCACAGCTCAGGTCGCCTATAGAAGCCAGAGGTCGCTTAAGACGAGTCCTGACCTCCACCTTGTTTCAGGTACGGTGAAAGTTGTCAACCCCCTTTCATAAGAGAGAGAGAGAGCGCTGGGATCATAATTTATCCATGCAGGTGGTGTGCTGTTCGTCTAGTATCTCAAGCCACATAAAGTACAGGTAGAGTCTTGTTACTGTATTCAGACTTGACAACATGTGGTTCACCTAAAGATTAGCCCACAGCTTATTTCATCTGATAATTTATATAACCACCCTGTCCCTACATAAGGTTAGTTTAGGTTTGGAAGTGTCGAGTTAGATTAGGTTAGCTTAGCTTAGCTTAGCTTAAGTTTAGTTTAGGTAAGGTTAGCATCAGTATAGGTTAGGTCAAGTTAGGTTAGCGTTAGTTTAGATTACGTTAGATAAGGTAAGATTAGGTTAGCGTTAAGTAAGGTTAGGTTAGATCAGTTTAGGTTAGGTTGGTCAATCTGAAGGTGAAATGAGCTGGAAGCGAATATTCAAGTGAAAACACGTTGATACATCTAAGAACAAAAACAACTTTTAAAATACTTTATCTTTCAACATTTCATTTTTACTGAAGGGAGATAAATTTAGAGACAGTCTTAAAGTTGTCTCTCTTTTGGAGTTCCTCAAGAGGTATTTGACGCTTTTTGAGTTTGTGTTAACAATTCTATCTATCTATCTACCCTTCATTAGTCGTTTGCCACTGCAGTAGAGCTCCTCCAGGCGTTCCTATCCTTCTACAGCTGCAGACGCTTCTCCCCCAGCCTTCTACAGCTCACATCTACACAGTCCTTTACCCTGTTCATCAACCTTGTTCTTAATCTCCCTGTTCTCTGTTCCTTGTTTTCTCTGCACGTCACCTCTCTTTCTTTTAATCTGTTCTTCATCATCCAAGTAATCTGTCCTTCCTTCTTTGCCTATTATTATTATTATTATTTTCATTTTACGCACATATTCTTTTCATTTCCTCTTTCTGGTGGTTTTGATTGGCAGATAGTTGTGGTGGTGTTGGTGATAGTGGACACAGTGGTAGTGGTGGCGGAGCTGATACTGGACTTGGGACACCACCATAACGAGAACTCCCTGGCCCCCCTCGTCCTCCACGCACTCTCACTCGTCCTTCTGTCCCTCTTTTTCATAGAGGTCCTCCTCAAGATTTACACCTTCAGACGGGAGTTCCTAACACAAAAGGTACACACTAAACCAGCTTACAACTCATTCATTCATCTGTCGATTTAGTCAAGTAACAATCAACTTCTTTGCAGGCTACTTCCCTTGTGGTCTCTGGTACAATAGATCTTTGTTCGTGGGTAAATACAGTGTTGTCTTAACTATGCAGGACAACTAGTGCATATAGGATAAGGGTTTCCAACCTTTTTTTTCACTGCGGACCATGCAGTAGTAGATAGTAGGCAGCTATCAAACAGGGAGGTACTATCGCCTGGGAAGATATTGGGAGACCCTGCTGCCATATGTGACCAAGTCCCAGTTTGCTGATCTGATTGACTTTCTGCCTCAATTACACACAATTGCTAGGTCTCAATTGTTTCTCTTACTTTGACAACACAACATATGCTGTATATTGTTTCTCACTTTTGATGCCTTATTTATCCATTTCTGTATTTTTATATGATGCAATTTGTTTCTTCTTTGGCTTTTTTTTCGCCCTCCCTCCCCCCTCGCAGGTCAGTGACCTGTGCCCGAGTGGGCTAATCCCCCTGTTACAAGGGGGGGGGGGGCATAAGTAATATAATTTTTTTTATTTTTTTTTATTTTATTTTTTTATACAAGGATTATCCCACCCAGGCACAGGTCATCGACCCACATCGGAGCTGGGGGGTTGAGGGTATCATTAAAATGATTAGTGCAGTTTCTCGCGAAAACTTTGTATGTCAAGTGATAAAACATGAAATATATATAATTATCAACTTGATTTAAAAAATAAATAAATAAATTACATTTTCATTGATATACGGTGGATATTATTACTAGGCTGTCGTTTATATATATATATATATATTTATATATATATATATATATATATATATATATATATATATATATATATATATATATATATATTATTATTATTTTTTTTTTTTTTCGGGGCTCGTTCGCCAATATTTTGCGGCCCGATATAGTATCCGTGGACCGGTGGTTAGGAACCCTTGATATGGAGATATAAAGTGATGCTTGGATGATGCTTAGTGCTTCGCTTCTTTGTTGTAAACATTGAGCCCAGGAATACCTCAGTCATCGCTGTACTGTGAGCTGGTGTTCTTAGTGTGGCCGATGCTTACTAATTATGTCAGCTGAAGCAACAATACCTACATTCACACGGGAGTTAGGAATCTCGACTACTGACACGAGTGAAGGTTGTGTTGCAGGCAGAGGTGCTGGACGCTGTGGTGGTGACTGTGGCGCTCTGCCTCGACATAGTGTTTGTCCACCACCAGGCTGGCTATGGCCTCATTATCATCCTCAGACTCTGGCGCGTTGTCAGGATACAGAATGGTGAGTGGCCATCACGATACAGGACGATGCCGTTGAGTATCTTTGGTGTTTTATTTTTCCTAATAGTTCATTGTTTAATTTGTTGTTTTTCTGTTAGTTCTCTGTCTTTGGTGTGTTGTCTTGCATTTTTATCCTCAGTATTTCTTTTATTATTTTACTACGTGTTTCGGTGTCCTCAAACATACTCTCGTAATAGGTCTTAAAAGAGAGGAACATTGTTTTAGTTGGTACGATATATTAGGCTGAGAAATTTATGCACAAGAAACTAGTTCATTAATTTCTTTCCTGTTATAAATACAGTAAAGCTTGAATGTCACCACACCACTTTTCATGTTCACCGTCGAATATTATCCCAGTAGGCATAAAGAGATAGTTATATGCTAAAGCAATGCTGGGCGACTTATGTAAACTTTGGACTTGTCTGTGTGTCCGTTTTTGAAATGGCAATGGGGCCGCTTTTTATGTTTAGAGAAGTTAGATGCATCAATTTTGAAATGAACTTTGTATCAAATCGGGACCAAATTTTTCATTAAGTGTGTAGATTTAAGCATTTAAGCAAACTTCGTATAATACTAAATGGGCTTGGTTATGCACGTGACAGCGGTGATAATGCAGGTCCGGCTGATGAGGGAGGAGCGGCGGCATCGTGCGCTTGGCAATCAACGCGGAACTACACCAATATCATGAGCTTGTCATTTTGAGATACGCCACAAACTCTCCACCAAGTGTACAGAGAGTATGTGTTTAGGTGAATATATAAACTATATTGGGAGCATTACAGGTATATAAATTATTTAAACCATGTAAATTAGGGTTTATATGGAAATGTGAATCTCAATGTACAGTAATTTACAGAACTATATTATTAATGCATTTTCTATTTTAGTTTACGGAAATTAAACTTAGTGCGAATTGAAACTATTATATTAGTTACTTTTTAAGGTGTCATGTATTTTAGGTGATAACGCAAATCATAGTTTTTGTGCTAAATAAGTTATGTATTTAATGGAAACAGTTGCTCCCCTTCTGAGCCATATGTGTTTGTAATTCTGCTGGAAACTGATCCACCTCACATGCCTAATCCTTCACGTTGTTCAAAACTGATCTTTATCTTTTATCTCTTCTCTCCACTATTGTATTATCACTGTATAGTTCTATTAAGTAACCTTAGCTTCTTTTACTGATTATCATTAGTTTTTATTGTCCCATTCTCCTTATTTTTTTGCTTGTGTATCTTTGAACAGATTTTCTTGCATTTATGTTTGTCATCGTTATTTATCTCCTTGCATGTCATTCTTATTTATCAATTCAATTTTCAATTTCAATTGTTTATTCCTTGATAGAGAAAGCGGGATCCTAGTGCTGTCACTAGGTACCCCTGTACAATAACACCAGAAGCATCTGGCAAGTGTGACAAGTATATACAGTATAAATATTGTAAAGGGGCTTACTAAAGCCTAAGGAAGGAAGGATATTCCTTTAACACATTATCAATATTATTTACAAAATATCTGGCCAGTATGGGGAGGATCATCGTGTCTCCGTCAGGGGGTCGTGGAGTGGTGGTCCAGCAGGCGTCACGGAAGCGTTGTGTGTGGGGACATCTTAGGAGGTAGTGGAAAAGGGTGCTGCTGTCGGGTCTTCTGCATAATGCACAAGAGCGTTGCTCAGGGGATGCGGGTCTTATTTATCTTCTTATCCTGTTAACATTCCTTTTTAACATCTTTTTGGTGAACTACTTTGTAAGCCTCACTTATTTTATCCATTCTTTTACCTTATCTGTTGTCTTTTAAGATTTCATTAGTGATTTACTTATCTTTACTCTGGTTTTCTTCTTCTTTTATAAATTATCCTCACAAACATTTTTCCTTTGAATTCATTGCATTGTTATAGTTCTTATTCTTCAAATAATTTATCCAATACAGCTACTTATTTCTTCCAACTTTCCTAAACTCTGAACTTTTTAGCCTCAAGCTGCTCGGTGTGACCCATTAGTTCCTTGACAGTCCATTTTCTCTACCCTGGGTGATGACTGTAGATGTATACAGTAGAAGGATGGCTACTTTGATGCAAAGTCAGTATTAATGAGAAGATATATATTTTTTTTCTCAATAAAATCGCCATACAAGTTAACATTGATTGCACATGTACATAGACAGTGCAGATATATAAACAATGTACAGTTGCCCGCTCTTATTCCTGGCAAGGTTTGGTTAAATTAGGTCAGGCGCGTTTTGTGAGATGTGAACCTCTGTTTACATTGTATTAAAACTCCCGAAATAGACCCCTAAGGAATCTCGCAATAGTGGCCAGACTAAGGATACTAGATAAACGTTCCACAGTGTGGTGACCACATCTCACAAACGAGCTAGTCACTTTAGCAGGTGTAAGTGCAGGCGACTGTACATAGTCAATTCAAGTATACATAGTGCATGCATATTAAAAATGTACATAGGCAGTTCAGGTATACAACGTACATAGACAGTATAAGTAAACAAATATGACAATTCAAGTATACAATATTCATAGACAGTGCAAGTATACAAACCAAGGTATACAGTAAGTTGATTTAGCCAAGGATAGCCAACTAAGCTATTTCCAGTAAGGTGTTTATTGCAAGGTTACAGAAGTTACCATTTGTGGCAAGACAGGGTTGTGTTTAAAACTCGGGAACGATATATATTGTGATTTGTTGACAATAGGTTTGTTATGGCTACTACTAGTGGGGTTTTTTTTTGGGGGGGGGGCGTTCAGTTACTGTTTGCGTTTATTATGAGTTGTGTAATACTGATGATTTTTTTTTATGGGGATTAGCCCACCCGGACACAGGTCACTGACCCACATCGGGGCCTGGGGGGCGAAAATGTAATAATAATAATAATAATAATAATAATAATAATAATAATAATAATAATAATAATAATAATAATAATAATAATAATAAAAATAGTCATAATAATTCATAATAAATAAAATTTATGATAAAACAAACAAAAATAAAATAATAAAATAATGATGATAATAATACAGTAACTGTAATATTAATAATATAGAACTATAAATACAAAAATGAAAAAAAAAAGATCAAAAGTGAGAAACGATATATGTATGTTGTGTTGTTAATGGTAAGAGAAACAATTGAGACCCTGCAATTGCGTGTAAATGAAGCAGAAAGTCAGATCAGCAACCTTGGACTTGGTCACATATGGCAGCAGGGTCTACCATTAGACAACACATTATGCTTCCAATATCTTCCCAGGCAGAAGTGCCTCCCTGTTTGGTAGCTGCCTACTACCTACTACTAGGATATTACTACTGTACTTACTACTTTTACTATTTCATACTACTGATTACTGCTGTTACCACTGCTCTACTGATCATACCAGTACATATTGTGCACTAGATAATGATGATTCATATTACGCTCGATAGTCCATAAAACATATATGGATTCTTTCTTGAGTTACCCCTATGACTTGTATTTAATTTAAGATTAATATGAAACCCGTATGTGTAGGCAGTAAGAGATATACTCGTATACCTATTGTTAGTTGAAGTTTTCAAGATCAACAGTTCAATGCTGAAAGCTTCAATTGTACGTAATTGTTGTGAAAGCTGTAATATAATTAATCGTTGATGAGTCCTTCAGTAGTACCTTCATCATGTTTCGTCATGCTGTGAAATTGTCAGTGTATAAGTACAGTAGACTTACATTTACTTGGTCTAGAGAATTCAGAAAATATAGATACATTGAAGTTGATCAGGGAGAAGTGATGTATTAGTCCATAAAAAACATGTTTTAACTTGTTTTGGGGATTACTGGCCACTTCGCCTTTAGGCTATTTCGGCCGGAAAACATGTTGATAATACTGTACTTAAGTATGGTAGATCTTGTGGTGTACGTGGCATAACATTACCAGTTTGGGGCAGTTGCCAGTTGTACGATGATCACGCCTCCACTATTTTTACCGTCTGGTTTATCATGGCTGTAACAAATAAGACCAGTACATTTATTACTGCTACATATAATTACAAAGTCAGTGGAAACTTTTATCTTAATTATATATAACTAATATTATAAATAAAGGTAAGCATAGGAATCTTTCTTTCATTAATGCTAACTGATACTAGAAATTTCCCAAATTTTGTACAAGTTCGTAGAGCTTGCTTTATAACGATGTATCTTCAATAATAAACTAATTGCTTGTACTGTACCTATAGTGTTTACCCCAAACTGCCGTAAGGACCAACACCTCTACATCCTCGTGAAACTAAACATTGTGTTAAGGGAGGAGAATTATTTAGCGAAATAAAACAAACATAATTAGAAGATAGAACATCGTGACAGTGCATGAAACAGTGCAGTAAAAACAAAGAACTGAACACTCACTGTTCTGCTTCATGAGACAATAATACTCACTGTGGCATAACCTGAAGATGCGCCAGAGTCTGAGGATGATAATGAAGCCATAGCCAGCCTGGTGGTGGACAAACACTATGTCGAGGCAGAGCGCCAATAGCACCACCACAGCGTCCAGCACCTCTGCCTGCAACACAACCTTCACTCGTGTCAGTAGTCGAGATTCCTAACTCCCGTGTGATTATAGGTATTGTTGCTTCAGCTGTCAGAATTAATAAACATCGACCACATGTTTAAATAGGCAACAGATTACCCTCAAAATTAACTGGTGGTCGACGGCAGGTAGCGAATACATAGATACAGCCTTGCTCTACAAATACAATACCTCCATTACTGAAATCATTCCACCTGAAGATTAGTCCCCCAAGGTTATTTCACTTGATAATTAAATCCCCTAACGCTACCTGGAGGTTTAGGCTAAGGATGGTTACTCTTAAAATGAAATTAACTTGGGGCCTAATGTTCAGGTGACTCCTAAACTCTATCCCATACACTTTAAGTACAGTCAGTGCCCGCTTAACGGACTGTACAGTACATAGCACGTTCCTGAAAAGATGCACGTTAAGCAGTATGCGTTAAGTCGAAGTACGTTGAGCGAACACTGACTGGACAAACTTTCAGTGTATCAGATAAAATCGGAACACTGAAGCTTAAATATGCTACAAAGTAGATGAACAGTACAGTTATTCACAGATACTGTATAGTCTTCCTACACTTCATTGGCCTTTCCGAACATGTCACAACATCTGAATCACTTTATTAATAAATCGGTAACGATATATTTTTTCCTGGGTAACAACTGTACATAGATCACTAAAATAAACCAGAATGGACGGGTAAGTAAGTAATAAGCTGGTTAAAGTGTATGTTTACTGTACCTTGTGTGTTAGGAACTCCCATCTGAAGGCATAGATCTTGAGTAGGACCTCCAGGGAGAAGAGGGAGAGGAAAGTGAGTGAGACTGCATGGAGTGCGTGGGAGACGGATGGTTGTTCAACAAGGTGGTCATTTGAGTCCATTACCAACTGTGCCAGAACCAACAACGTGTCCACTAAGACTATCACCAATATTAACACCTGTCAATCAAAACCAACACATTTAGTAAGTTCACATTTCTCACCACTACTACTACCATCATCATTATTTCCTCAAGGTCATGGCATGGCACTCACAGTTGCTGCGTCTTCTGGAAGGTGAGGAAGATGTTTGTATGTAGACCTTGAGGAGTAAGTCTAAACAAGGGACTATAGATGAGAAAGTTGTGTTTGTGGTGAAGGTGTCCGGGAAAAAAGAAAGAATGAAAAGGCACAGGAAATAAGTTATAATTGGTCAGATTAGGTTAGGTTAAATTGGGTTACATTAGGTATGGCTTCGTTACGTTAGGTGAGGTAAGATTATATTAGGTTAATTTGGTAAGGAAAGGTCAGATTAAGTTACGTTAGGTTAGACTTTTTATTTATTTTTTTATTATATTTCATTTTCTTACATTCATGGTGACAACACTGCACTGTCGGCGGCTGAGACAACACAGTGGGAAGACAAAAGTGGTGTTTGTCTTGGGAGGGGGGAAGTAAGTATAGTTTTAGACGTGGTTGGACGTAGAGACGTTTGAGAGGAAGACATAGATAGATAGACATACAATTATCTTAGCGCGTACTCAAAAAACCTCAGTGAGTGTTTCATCTCTCTCTCTCTCTCTCTCTCTCTCTCTCTCTCTCTCTCTCTCTCTCTCTCTCTCTCTCAAGGGAGGGGAGTAACAGTTACCTCAAGCAAGGTAGAGGTCAGGACTCGTTTTAGGGTTTCTCTGGTCCGCTCGGCACTCAGGGCAGCCAACTTGTTCTTCTGCGTGTTGCTGGGAAGGCCATGGTCCTGGGTGTTGCTGGGAGGGCCATGGTCCTGGGTGTTGCTCGGAGGGCCATGGTCCTGGGTGTTGCTGGGAGGGCCATGGTCCTGGGTGTTGCTGGGAGGGCCATGGTCCTGGGTGTTGTTGGTAGAAAACCTCTCTCCGACTTGACCCATCTATGAAGGAACGTCATTAATGTGTGTGTGCGTATGTTTGTGTGTACATTATGTTAGAGGGCACACACACACTGCTGGTCGTTATAACAACAGCCCAATTCCAATCACTGTAAGAATTAACCTGTGTCCACTCCGTCAACCTCACTTTAGTACTGTAACTGTGCTGAAATTCCTTGTTGAATGACCTTCCCCTTGTCATTAGATACAGTATGTACTGTACGGCATCACTTATTTCATCTGTATAATTTTACCTTATGGTTGCCATAGTGGTTAATAAACCGTTAATTATTACTATTATTATTATTTTATTATTATTATTATTATTATTATTATTATTAATAACATTAATATTATTTTTACTATTATTTTTACCGGTATTATTATTACACACACTTGCACATGATTTCTCACCTAGTTATTATATATCATCTGTACCACTAATGTTACTTGTATATATTATTTGTCAATCGAGTGATCCATTCCCCAGTTATGTGACTTTCATCTTCTTTGCTGACTTTATATTTTCAGCCCTTTGGCTGCCTTGTTTTGTCAATAAACCGGTAATTATTATTACATAATGAAAAAAATATATATATTCACCTATGAAGCGTTGGTTTCCAGTTCCGAAAATATGTAATCTTGAAGCACAATGAAAGTCGTAGAAAACATAAAATAAAATCAATCTTAACTTACACAAAGTATCTGTGGTATATCTCGACTTTAGCAAAGCCTTCGACAGAGTCCCCCACGAAAGACTAATACGAAAAGTGGAGGCTCATGGCATTGGAGGAGATATTCTAAAATGGATTAGGGTGTGGTTACAGGACAGGAAACAGCGAGTAAGCATTAACGGCGCTAAATTTGATTGGAGTAACGTCACTAGTGGAGTTGAATTGAATTGAATCGAAACACTTTATTTACCGAGAAAAACGCAGATACAGAGTGGATAATAATAACAATATTAACATGGCTGTGCCAGTTGAGAACATGAGCTCTCTTTTAGGCACCTGATATATACTATACATTTATCTCAAGGAAGTATTATGTAACATTTAGTAACATCTGGAATAGTACAATAGCATGGTGGTAATAAGAACATCTCATAATGTTACCACGGTTATTACTTCAATATTTATTTATTTTATTTATTTATTATTTTTTATTATTTTTTATTATTTTTATTATAAGTATATACAAAAATTACAGTGGAATTTAAAAATATAGGTATAATGGGGGAGCAGTACAACATGGGTTGTACAGTAATAAGGTTAAACAAGAGGACAGAGCTGTCAGGATTATGTTGAGTTGGCAATTATGTTTATTGCAATGGTAATTTCTTATCTATTTACATGATAATTTCCGATACAACGGTTTTGATGGTACAATAAAAGCAGGTACTGTAAATATTGTAGGTATTGCAAGAAATGTTAATACCTACAATAACCTTGACAATAGTTATTTTTTAAGAGATGATTTAAAGGGAGGAAGCTTAGTCTTTGCTGGGATGGGTGGGGGTAAGTTGTTCCACACCTTCACACCGTGATATTTTATGGAGGTAGTAGGCAGTAGACAGGGAGGTACTACCGCTTGGGAAGATATTGGAAGCATAATGTGTTGTCTCATGGTAGACCCTGCTGCCATATGGCATCACGAAAATTGTGACCAGTCCCAGGTAGCTGATCTGACTTTACCTCATTTACACACAATTGTAGGGTCTCAATTGTCTTTCTTACATGACAACACAACATACATATAGCGTTTCTCACTATTGATTTTTTTTCATTCTTGTAGTTCTTTGTATTTATTATTATTATTATTATTATTATTATTATTATTATCACAGTGTTGTTGTTATTATTTTCACCTTTAATATTTAATTTATTTACTATGAATTATTATTATTATTACATTTTCGCCCCGATGTGGGTCAGTGACCTGTGCCCGGGTGGGCTAATCCCCGTAAAAAAAAATACAAGAATTTACTGTAATTATGTATCGTGACATCTTACAGTTCTATTTGTGGTGATGAAGTGTTATGTAATACTCCTCCACCACACTGTAACACTTGGCTTGAAATGCCATAATGTAATGGCTACACACACATATACAATTTATGTAACTGCCATATTTAATTCACTTTTTGCAGACAACCATGTGAGGAGAGAGGCGCTACACCTGTCGTGTTCAGGGCAAGAGGCAAGTCTGCCGTAGAGGAGTGGGGCAAGAGGCAGGTCTGCCGTGGGGGAGTGGAGGTAAGAGGCAGGTCTGCCGTGGAGGAGTGGGGCAAGGGGCAGGTCTGCCGTGGGGGAGTGGGATAAGAGGGACGTGTTTAGGACGTGACAGACACATGGAAACACCAAACAGGAAAAAAAATGACCAAGCGTGAACCTATCAGTCCTATGTGATGGACTGTCGTTACCCGCAGAAAAAGTTAAATTACCCCCGTGGAGGCATTTGGCCCTTAGTGGGAACCCTTGACGTAGCCAAACACACGTCGAACAAAGACACTTCAATATTATCTGAAAACTGTGTACATGACAGAATAGTGTGTGCGTGCGTATGTGTGTGTGTGTGTGTGTGTGTGTACATGGCAGATCAAAGGCGAATAGAATAAAGTAAAAAACCAAACCAAGAAACTCACCCGTGTCCTTCTCTTGGTGTAGTCGCTCTTCACAGCAAGCAAATAATGCAACAGAGAAAAATAATACTTAAGATATCCCAAACACTCACAGTATCTATCTCTGAACTACAAAGACCTCTTTACCAGAACAAGACTAATTCGTGTGTGAGCCGAGAGCCCAAGAGATGGTGGGGGGTGGGACGGAAGGAGAAAAAGAAAGTACCCTAGGATGATGGTCGCTTTACAACCCTCTTTCCTTTGTTAGGTCAGAATCTATTCCCCAAATGTGAGGGATTTATATTACGTAAGATGTACTGTATATAATAATAATAATATTACGTTGGTCTGTTTGAGATGATACTCGAAATTGAAGTTTGGTTAAATGTGCCTTTTGACGGTTTCATACCAGTGTGGTGTTGTTCATCCTGGGGAGAAATATGTGTGTGTATTACATCCTGCCTGTTGCCAGTTGTGGTTTTTATATATTACATAGCAATAAAAATAATGACAATGCTGTTACTAATTGTGATAATAATAATAATAATAATTACAATTGTGAATATGAATTGAAAGAGAAAAACATTTGAGGAAAATATATAGAAAAAAAGAGTGAGAAATAATAAGAGAATAAGGGAGAAAGAAATTGACAGACACACGCAACATACAAAGACAGAAACAGACAGACACACACAACATACAAAGACAGAAACAGACAGACACACACAACATACAAAGACAGAAACAGACAGACACATACAACATACAAAGACAGAAACAGACAGACACACACAACATACAAAGACAGAAACAGACAGACACACACAACATACAAAGACAGAAACAGACAGACACACACAACATACAAAGACAGAAACAGACAGACACACACAACATACAAAGACAGAAACAGACAGACACACACAACATACAAAGACAGAAACAGACAGACACACACAACATACAAAGACAGAAACAGACAGACACACACAACATACAAAGACAGAAACAGACAGACACACAAAGACATACAAAGACAGAAACAGACAGACACACACAACAACATACAAAGACAGAAACAGACAGACACACACAACATACAAAGACAGAAACAGACAGACACACACAACATACAAAGACAGAAACAGACAGACACACACAACATACAAAGACAGAAACAGACAGACACACACAACATACAAAGACAGAAACAGACAGACACACACAACATACAAAGACAGAAACAGACAGACACACACAACATACAAAGACAGAAACAGACAGACACACACAACATACAAAGACAGAAACAGACAACACACACACACAACATACAAAGACAGAAACAGACAGACACACACAACAGACAGAAACAGACACACACACAACATACAAAGACAGAAACAGACACACACACAACATACAAAGACAGAAACAGACACACACACACATATACAAAGACAGAAACAGACACAGACACACACAACATACAAAGACAGAAACAGACAGACACACACAACATACAAAGACAGAAACAGACAGACACACACACAACATACAAAGACAGAAACAGACACACACACAAACATACAAAGACAGAAACAGACAGACACACACAACACAAAGACAGAAACAGACAGACACACACAACATAAAAGACAGAAACAGACAGACACACACAACATACAAAGACAGAAACAGACAGACACACACAACATACAAAGACAGAAACAGACACACACACACAACATACAAAGACAGAAACAGACAGACACACACAACATACAAAGACAGAAACAGACACACACACAACATACAAAGACAGAAACAGACAGACACACACAACATACAAAGACAGAAACAGACACAGACACACACAACATACAAAGACAGAAACAGACAGACACACACACGATATACAAAGACAGAAACAGACAAAAAAATTACAAAAGATACAGACAGACAGACAAAGAGAAAGAGACGAGAAAGACTGACAAATTGACAGACAAATAGAAAGAAACTGACAAACTGATACAAAGAGACTGACAAACAGACAGATTGACTGAGACAGAGATAGAGACAGACAGACAGTAACATACTCATGGTTTCCGGTTCTTGCTTTACGCATATCCTCCCTCTAGACTAGAGCGTCGTCACCCTAGCTCAAGAGAGTGTTATTTTAAGGTTAAACTCTCCCTTTGGATTCTTGGTTGATGTTCTCCCTTTATACGTGGCTGTTTCTCCCTTAGAATATGTTTCACCCTTAAACTGTTTTACCTTTAAAATATGTTTCTCCCTTAAAATATGTTTCACCCTTAAGATATTTCACCCGTAAGATATGTTCCACCCTTAAAATGTTTCTTTTAAAATGTTTCACTCTTAAAATGTTTCACCCTTAAGATATATTTCACCCTTAAGATATATTTCACCCTTAAGATATATTTCACCCGTAAGATATGTTCCACCCTTAAAATGTTTCTTTTAAAATGTTTCACCCTTAAATGTTTCACCCCTAGATATTTTTCATCCTAAAAATGTTTCACTCTTAAAATATGTTTCACCCTTAAATGTTTCTCCCTTAGATATGTTTTACCCTTAAAATGTTTCATCCTTAAAATATGTTTTAACTTTTACCCTTAGAATATGTTTCACCCTTCAGTTTTGGTTTAGTTTAACTCATAATCTGTGATTGAATTCTTTCCTTAAACTTGGGTTACCTTTTCCATTACAATTGTTTTATCAATATATTTCAGTTGTTTCTCCTTTAAATTGCAAATGAGTCTCGCTCTTAAAGTTGTGGTAGAATTTGTTCACAAATTCAATTAAGTATCCCCTTTTAGGCTTGTGGGAGAGATTCGTTTTCTGTAGAGTTTAGTGCAAAGGAATACTATACCAGCAAAAATATTTACAATATTGCATCTAACAGTTAACTCTGTAAGTCGATTCTAGAGGTTGTAAGTGCAGGACCAAGGAATATTATAAGGAACTTATAGTCTTACGGGAGTAATTCAATCCCTATTAGTTGAATGCCTATCGTAGAGATGGCGCTGGATCGCTGGTGTGTTGGCTGTCTGTTTACATGTTTGTGAGCTTCACAGCCTTCCTCGGGCTGGGGGGCGTGGCGGTAGATGTAAACATGGCTCCGCTGGTCACCGTTGTGTTTCTGGAAAAACCTAAAGAAATAATAGAAAGCTAAGGTTTCATTTCTTCCCAAAAGGCAGGAAAAGGTAAGTTCATAGTTCATGTGGTTGCTTTATAAGCAGTGGCGGTTAAATTACAGTTTAATTTATAATTTTACCACTTAGCTTACTAGGCATTCGGGTGGCAATGGCAGGTCTCTTATTTGTTACTGTTATTAACTTCATTGTTCAGTAGCACCCATCGAATAACTCCCCCACTTATATATATATATATATATATATATATATATATATATATATATATATATATATATATATATATATATATACAAAAAACGTGGATAAGATATCTTGATAAAATCACACGGAAAAGGGAAACAACGGAGCACCTTTTCCGTGTGATATATATATATATATATATATATATATATATATATATATATATATATATATATATATATATATATATATATATATATATATATTTATTTTTATTTGTTATCTCATCAAATGTGCAACTAAAAATGTCGGAAACCAAAGAAGAAAAGAGCGCAGTCTGTTTACATTTTTACCTGAGATACAGTGGCCGGTCCGTGTGTCGCAGAGCGCCGGTCTACAGTATATGAGGCGAATTGCAAAATTAAAATTACTAACTTTCTTTTGTATCATTTTCGACAAATTTGTATTGCATATTTCGAAAGAGGAGATAAAACTACACCAGGATAATTTATAAAAAGGGAGTTACTCAGGGGGTCTTAAACTGCAATTTAACCAGTCAATTGAAAGCATATCCACACATATTCATGGTAGATTTAGGTTATAGTAAAGGCCTGTCACTGAGTGCCAATACGGCCGGGAGTAAATGCCTTTTTTAACCCCGGATTTTCCTTCTATATAACATGGTACTGTAGTAATCAGCACTGTGTTGGAGCAGCTGCTTCATGTTTGTAGAGATTCTCGTTGATGAAAACTCTGATTTTGACAGTTAAAATAAAATGTTCTCATTTGAAGACAGAGGACGAGAGAAGTAATTCCTTCGGTGTCTTAACCAGGCCCAGAGACAATGTAGTAGAATGTTTGAATGAAATGGAAGTAATTTTCAGAGTCAATATAGCTAAAGTTTTTGGCTGTAAAGATGTGTCCAAGAAAATTATGACATTAATGGATGAAACAAAATATATAAACCAATGTACTGTACATCCGAGTGTAAGTTTCAATTTATTTTAACATATAATATGCTTTATGTCTGTTTGTCTTTCGGCTGTGCATGTTTTTGCGTATTAAAGTTGGGCTAATTACAGTTTTATTGGTATTATTATTTTGGTCATCCGGCAATCTTAGGAATTTGTTAGGTTAGATATAGCTCCTGGGTTCTGTGGCTAGGTTAGGTTAGGTAAGGTAAGCTAAGATCAAAATCGTTCAAAACACGTCAGAAAACGTTGGAAAAACATAGGGATGACCGAAACGATAATTTTACAGCTTTGTCTTCTTAACATTACATGTGTGTGTTGGGAGTTTGACAACCCTACTTGACAGAGGTACGTTGTCTAGGCCAGGACAGGAGAGGGCTGCTGCCACATACTGTATGTCAAATGTGGTTGCTAGTTGCCAGTTCATATTTGTTTTGTCTGTTCTGTTTGATGTGTCTTTTTGTTCACCATCATTTGAGGGAAGGCAACTATCTGATGATGATATACAATAGGACAGGCCAAAGGCTGCCTCCTCTTGCAAGTGGTTACCCGATCCCTAGTAATTAAGCTTCTTGTTGTTGTTAACGCCTTTTTGTTGTTGTTTTCTTTGTTTTTGTACAGCTAGAAAAGGTGGCTTGAGTTGTGAGCGCTCATGCCTATAAACTGCAGTTCGGGGATCTATAAATACACCCAGCAATGATTAAGTCTCTAACCTTCCATTTAATTGTATTTTTCTTTAAAACCTTCTCCCCTGTAAGCACCTTCACCTGGCTAACTCTAAGGGCCTGTCTAGCATAAGTAACACACCCATCTTGAAAGTTACACAAATAACTGGCGTCACCCTTGGCATTATTGACTTGCCTTCATCTGTGTAGTTGAGTCACAATTTGTCCAGT